CTAGGCTGCGGAAAGCGTCAGGCCACGGTCGTGCGCGGGCGCGGGTACGTACTCGACCCGTCAACCCGTTGAAGCTTGGCCGTCCTTGTTGACGAGAGTCAACTTTTGAACTTGTGATCATGGTTGAGATGGATACCTTGTTTTTTCGATTTTCTTTTTCAATCCTCTAGGTTTTACTCTATTTACTTTTGGAATTTCTGAGCTCTCAAACGAATGTGGAAAATGCGTTGTGATTGAATATATATCTCCCGGTCCGTTCATCACCGGAAGCAACTAATATGAGGCACATTCACCAACCATCGACACCACGAGACTGATCACCAGCACCATCATTAAACGGACTGCTAACAGAGTGCTGAAATTGAAATGCTGACTACGCTGATTGACTTTCATGGTGAAAATGAGACTGAGTACCTAGCCGCCGATGTCTTCTAGTCTATAAAAGCCTCCAAGAATTAGTTGACATGCTATTGCCCAGATATTCGACTTTCCCCTGCGATTAAGATGGATGCCCCTAATAGCATGCCAGACCAGGAAAGAGAAGGAGAATAACAGCCCAGTGCATTGCCAATCGTTTCTGAAAAAGAGAATTCGCAGGAGGCTTCTGATCATGTCCCTCCACAGGTAAGTAAAGCGGCTCAGCTTCCAATGCTCTTGCTGACCATCGCAGCTCTCTCTTTCGCCACAGGAAGCAGAAACAAGACATACCTTTGCGACCGAGCCCTTTCAACCTATTTTGAAGGTACTAGCAGACCTCGAACACGACGATCCCAAGTCCGCCTTTCCAGCAGGTCGAACTGCCGGACCGTATCAACGCCTATGGGAGTCGTGCGTGTCCAAACACATCGATGGCCAGAATCTAGAGCAGAGCAATCAGATCTTGAAGGAAGCTAGCACACACCTGACTCAAGAAAGGGACGGACTTCAGCTGCGCCACGACAAGCAGCTGTCTCGGCTGCGCTTTTTCGAGCAGGCACTGGAATCATCTCGGGGTCGACTGACTCGCGTACTCGATGACTGGAACCACCCGTCCAGACTCAATCTACATGTACCAGGGTTCTTGGACAACGCAAGAGAAGGGTGAAGGGTTGCATATATTCATGATTGTCGTAGGTCTTACTTTTCCAAATTGGCAATAATATGACAACATTGTAATTGAGAGAGAATTACCGCATGGAAAGTAGCTTGCATCTGGAATAGCATAGCCTTCGTGGAATGTTCTGCGAATAATCCCTCATGTTCTAGTATCGCTTTTATTACCCCAATATATTATAAACAAAAAACTACGGATCCAGTGACAATGTGGGCAGTGTAGCTAGCGGAGAACGTGTCGATTAACTCGGCCGTCCCGCATTGCATCACGACAGCTACCCGAAGTAGATGTCGCCAGCTCTTCCAGACCGCCAAACCTTCTCCCTGTAGACCGCTTCAGCAATCTTTGCGGAGTGTTGGCATCTTCCATTCTGCTTCGAATGGCCCTCTGGATGCAATCGTTCCTTGTTAGATGCAGGGATTTTGCCAAACTGAAGTATGTCAGTCTCGGATTGACCACAAGTGCATTAACAATCGAGGAATTCCCGCCCCTGACCGCCAACATCAATGGATCCTCAGAACATTGATTCCTGAGGTTCACATCAATCCGATTATGACTTAGTAGTGCCTGAACCATCTCCAATTCATCACAAGCGGCGGCAATGCAGAGAGCAGTGTCGTGAGTTGCGATCGTGCTTTCATTGATGTTAAGACGTGCGTCTTGCTGCACCAAGAGTCTTACCACATCGAGATGGCCATGTGCAACCGCTCGACAAATGGGCGGATCTATTACATCCACTCCATTGATCTCCACGCCCTGCACACTTAACAGACAAGCAACCGTGTTCATGCGTCCGTGATATGCGGCCACGGAGAATGGAGAGTGGCCTCCAACACAGAGATTCAGGCTGATCCCTGGCACCGCAAGCAGCCGTCGTAGGAGCACGGTATCCAACCTGGCCGCGGCGTGGTGGAGAGATGTAGACAGCGTCTCGAATCTCCCACGGCCTCCAACAAAATTGACACATTGATGTCTTTCTCGGCCAACAGCCTTTCGGTTATCTCGTCGCATGACGAGTAAGTCGACAGCCAAAGTGGCGTATTGCCATTTTTGTCTTTGCAGTTCACGTTGGCACGGGGGTGACTTAGGAGCAAATTGACCATTTCTAGGCGATCGCTTTGAATGGCGAGATGGAGCGGCGTATAGCCATTCCGGTTCTGGATGTCCAAATTCAGGCCCTTTTGTCCGAGAAGCCGTTTGACAACATCTACCGACCCATAGGATACTGCATGGTGAAGAGGTAGCTCAGCCTCCTGTGATGATTGGGTACCAAGAAACACCTCGGCCATCGGATCGTTTGAAAAAATCGTTTCCATCACGGGTCTATTGAAGCGACGTGCACAGTCCCATGGCGAGTGGCCCGAATCATCCTGTAGATCAGGGTCGGTGCCTCTAGAAAGTAGCAGATGCACGAACCCTATTCGGCCTGCGAAGACTGCTAGGTGGAGCGCCGTTCGGCCGTGTTTGTGCTTGATGTCCACCTGGACGTTGGGTTGATTTAAGACACTTTTGACGGCGGAAAAGGTTCCGTAGTGGATAGCATACCACAGCGCGCTCTCCCGCGCTTGATTTTGAATGTTGATGTGTAGGTCTCCACGACTGAGCAAGAGGTCCCGCACAGCAGCGGAAGAGTATTTGAGCGCCCTCATTAAAGGAGTTTTGCCTCGGTAAAATGCATTGATGTTGGCCTTGTGCTGGAGCAAAGCCTCCGCAAGACCAACGTTGTCGTATTTGACGGCCAAGTGCAACAGATTGCTGTTCTGAAATTTGATGTTGTATTTCCAGATGCTGGGCTGCAGTTTAAAATCAAAGTTTTTGCATGATTTTGCGAGGGCAAATAATGCACTACCGTCCAAATACGACACAACCACAGCAAAAGCTCGTTGGGCATGTCTCTGATGTTTGGCTGTAATGTATTAGCTCATCGGTAAACTCCGTAAGAACGAATTGAACAGACCGTGATTGGAGAGCGGATTGAGCAAACGAAATGTAGATGGGGGTGAGGTGAGAGTTGTGAAAGTAGGATATGGGAGGCCTTTATATACCCACCTCAGCCAAATTCCATGGTCAGCTAGGAGTGTAGTCTGTCAGTCCGCTGAGAGGTGCGTAGCAATCACACGGCAGCATCAAAGCCTTGACAACAATGTTCAGGCGGAGTTGGAGAATCTCTGGCTTCCAGCTCCTGGGAACGCCAAAACTGTTCCTGGTAGTGTGTTGATGGCCTGGGAAACGAATCTATCTCTACGTACCCACATCTTGCATTTAGCGCCATAAGAACAAATCACAACCTATCACGCACTTCGAAATTCATAGGCAACCCAGAATCTAACGCAGCATTTGTCGACTTCGCTGCCTACCGCAGTAGCCAATCTGTTCGCCAATGTATGGTCACCGCGGTCTACAGCCACAAGTGAAGCTGATTGCAGCAGTGGTCTGGAATGATATCCCTTCACGCAGGCCACTGGTTGGCCGTATAGTGGCGCATACTGCGTGCGAATGCATTCTCGGACGTACCGACTGTTTCAAGGAAGTGTTCCATGCCAG